CATCGTATCATTTGTTGTTTTAATCGTACTAGACCAGTTGTGCTACTGACTGTGTAAAGGCTCCAGAGAAAGAACCTTCCTAAGTGTAGATTTGTTTTTAAAGCATCTAGGCTCGCTCCTTCTTGCACTTACACCGCCTCTCAAAGAGCGAGGGGAAGACTGGGCACAGGTAATGACCCCGTACGAACAAGGAGGCGCGTGTAGAAGCCGTCAGTGCAACGTTTCAGAGGAATAGCATGAAGGCTTGAGTAGGGGTGGAGGGCTGGGAAGCAGTGTGGATAGAAGCAGGAGCTTCCTTAGAAGAAAGACGTGTTAAAAATAAGCATATTTTTGGAAAATAAAGTGTTCCCTTTACTCCCCAAGAAGAGGGCTGCAACTCTGCCAAATGTTAAGTGCTCTGTTTGACCATGGGACACCCCCAATCTCAGACTGTACAACGGCACAGGTTCCAGCAGAGCGGTACGAACGCACACCAGGACAGGCAACTGCAGTAAAGGGATCTGTCAGTGTGTCCACTCATCTCGGCAAAGTCTCCAAAACCTAAAAATCACACAGCATTTCTCTTCCTGGCTGGGGTACACAGACACTGTTGGTGTTCATCACAGCCACAGCTGGTGTACTAGTGGCCTAATAGTTAAGCGCTGTCTTCTGGAGGGAAAAGGCTTCTAAAATATCAGATTCAGATAGGAATCTACCTTTCTCCCTTAGCAAAATCATCAGTTCATACATTATAAAGATTTTTTATTTTGTTTTGTTTTGTTTCTTTTGCTTTAGATAATGCAAAAAAAAAAAAAAAGTTAAGAGAACTGAGAAAGCCTGCTGCTCATTAAAAACGCAGCAAGATATTTTGGAGAGCTGCTTGTGTTACTTGAAACAGCTATACAATCACCATCGTTAAGGAGACGCCTGCATTTCCCAGACTCTTTGCTTTTTGGCTATAACATACATAACATGTATAAATATCACTTACCCAAATACTTGAATGAGATATTTGAGACTTCTGTCTCCAAAAACTTAAAAAATCTAAACCCCCAAAATACCTTATCAGGATAGTTCAGTCTCGCAAAAAGAAAAGGAAAACACCTTATATGTTTTTGGGTTTGGTTTTTTTTTTTGTCTGTTTGTTTGGGGTTTTTTTGGCATAAAGGCAACTTACAAATTGTCATGTTTCTTTAGGGTATAGAGATATTAAGAACTCCTCACACAACATACTTCTGAAATCAGACAAAATTGAACTGCAATACAGATCAATCAGTTAATGAAAATCACGAAGCAGAAGAGATCTAAGGCTGCTTAACATGATGCTCTGTGCAGCACCCTTATCGCTGCAGCTCGCCACCACCAACCGTTCAGCGATGGAAGCCAACATTTCCAGGAGAAGCACACAACTCAAGCATCGCTAATGCAAACTCAGAATCTGAAAAATACTATGAAAAGGTCTGTACTCAGACAGTCATTCTTCCTTATTTTGGACACAAATGATATGGCTTATGAACAATCAAGAGAACTAAAATTTCTGTAGCCGTTAGGTGAAAATGAACATTATTAAAAAAAAAAAAACAAAACAAAAAACCAACAACAGAACCAAAGCAATAACCAAACAACACCCTCCACCCCACCAAAAACCAACCCAAACCAAATACATCCAGTATCACAACAGGCCGCACTGTTTCAAGCTGTGAGTCCTGTCAAAGTGGCCCCTAATAGCTGCTTGCTTGGACAAGGAATGTGTTAGAAATCGTCACGGTGACACAGTGTAGTGTTTATTCTCCAAATAGCTAAAAGATGACAAAGATAAACATGTGCATTCTACCTAAAAAGTGGGAGTGTATGCTTGGAAGCCAAAGCTACAAACACCCGAGCCACGCATCACCTGTACGAGCTGTCCCACTCTGCCCTGCTCAACGGTTCGCGGGCTCACAGCGCTCGCCCTGCCTGGCACCACTGGGAAGGATCCCGAGGACAGCTATGGCAGCATGTGGTCCGATGCTTTCAGTAAGTTTTGGTCAGGCTTTAAGACCAAAAAAGCAGGAAGAAAGCAAGCAATAATAAGACATTCACAAAGGATGTTCTCTGTAGCATTGTATCTTCTACTGTAATTAACCTTACTTTTCCCCAAAACAGAGAGTACTATTCAGTACTGCATACTCCTCCTTTGAATCTTTTTCTTGGCTTGAAAATTGTTCCCTCTTCTCCCCACTCATTAAACCTTAGTTGCCTGTATTGCTGTTGGTACTCGTTGAGTACGGTTGTATTGCCTCAGAGTCCATGATGATCGTTCCTTGTATTTGGTTGATCTGAGGGTCAATATTCAAGGTACACCCTGAGTAAACCAAAAAGCATGCAAAGTCAAACCGGAGAAAAAGCTGTGGTCCTGCCCTTCCACTTTGGTCTCCTCCTGTAGTCTTACTAAGAACACTTTGTTTAAATCTTTATTGCATTGCTCTAGGCTATCTGGCTAAAATCCTTCTCTCACAATCAAGGAGAGCTTTCCCACAATGTCTTAGTATTACAGAAACCACTGCTAAAACAATTCCATAATAAACAACCCTCTCAAACAACGCCTGATAACCAGTCGCCAAGATGGGCTACAACACTACGGCATCTCATACAGTTAGATAATTGCTGCTAAATTTCTGAGAACAATCAGCCGAGGTGCTATACATTCAAAGACATTTCAAGACATTTTACTCTATTTTTTGTAGGCTAACAACCGCAGATACACAACTGTATTTGGAAAAACTAGAAACTACCTCACTATAGGGTGAGAGATAATGAGTTAAAATTAAAGGTTGCTGCTGGCTTGCTAGCCCATCCCCCTTTAGCTAATCTGTCATGTAATGAAGAGAAGCACCTAGCATAGGACAGCTAGCTGCCGGCTCACTTACAGCGAGCTGATTAAGAATGTTCAACCAACAGCAGACTGCAGACCTTTCCAATGAAAATAAATAGACTGTATGCAAATGTGTTTGTCACTTTGACAGCATGTCTCAATTAAAGCATCTCGCTGCTGTTGGTAGGCTCTCTCACTGCAGTGGTATGGACGAGGCTTACTGCATTACTGATACACAGGGCTTGACCCTAATCCGCATGCATGCATTTTAAAAAAGTCTGCCTTTGCCATATACACTAGCATAATACTAGCAGACACAGAAAGCAAGTGACAATGAGAAAAAAGCCCCTTTCATCCTCTTCAGTTTATGAGAACTGTGAATGCACAAACAGCCCTATTTCAGAGCTCTTGTGGCTTTTTAATTGTTCCCACCTACTGTATTCTAGACAGAGTTAAAAGTGACACTAAAATCTCTCGCTTTAATCACTAGTTAGAAGCCATCTCCCATTTAAACAGTAAATGTTGCTGCTTTTTTCCTCCCCAAAGCCTTAATTTATATTTCATAAACCTGAACATCTTTTCCTTTTGAATGAAAGTATGATTTAATTTTCATTTTGGCATTGGGCTATCAGGAAAAAAGACCCGTGAAAGGACAAAGGCTAGAAGTGAGATAGCCCTACAACTGCTAAGTTAGATCAGTTTTTGGAAACCGACATTTGTAATGTAATGACAGTAATAAGCATTTAGCAAGCGAGCCGTTCGCCACAGCCAGTGGTTCAGTAAGGCTGATGTGTGTTTCTTTTGACACAGAGAAAGTGATCATTAAAAAATTTGAAAGTGACCGTTAAAAAACCTCATGAATTTAAATTTGCACTTTCCACTTGATTATATATTTCATTAATCTACCAAAATGTTTGAACCATCCATCCTTCATAAAAATCTAAAGGAAAAAACTGAAAGTGGACTATAATATTATCTGGATTTCTGACTGCTTTAAATGAAATGTAACATTTTCCTGCTGGAGCTCGATGGGGCTACTGGAGAAATGTAGCCAATTCCTCTCAACTATCTTGGCACAGAAAGTAAGTGAAAAATAAATCACTACTGCAAATATTTAATTGGAAGAGAATCTGTTTTAAAAAAAAAAGTCTGCGAGAACTTACATTTAGCACAGTGGTGAAAGTTCTGAAAGAAACAATTCTAATTCCAAACCGATACAGACGCCGTTGCTCTGAGCAATGATTAGCTCTCAGGCAGCCCTATCTAATACCTAAACAGGCAATGCAGCTACACTGACTAGTTTCTATTAATAGATCTAAAAATCTCATTTGCTTCACATTTTGTAATTCCCAATATTTTGCAATTGCTTTAAAATTACACTGCGTTTCCTTAGAAGAAATCAGTAATTCACGCCCGTTTTCTGATCATAATGCTGTAAAAAATAGATACAGAGAAAGAAGAGAACTGTGACCACAAATAATGTTATTTTTTGAGCCAGGCTACACTTAATAGGGGAACACTGGCAAACCGATAGTAAATACTGTCTGTTTTTCCATGAAAATCACAGCAACTACAACATTTTCTAAATAACTAGCTCTTAAAAAAACACACAACCAAACTCACTCTTTTGCAGACATATCAAAAGAAACATTATAAGAGTAACTAATGCGTATAGCTCAGCTGTCAATACTGAAATACAGAGTACACTAATAAGCTATTAATTGATTTTTCCATCTTAGTTCATCGCATTTAATTTTCAGAGAATGTTAAAACGCTTTAATAGTTGGATGTTCCATATTGACACTAATGATCTGGCTAGATAACAGAGGACATTTTAAATTATACATCCTCAGTCCTGAGGGCTTTAGCACTTTGCATGCTAAGAGAACAGCAAAATAGTTTGTAAAATTGCTATAATAATTATGCTTCCCCCCCATTCACTTTGAATTTATTTTCCTCAAAATCCTAATGTGAACAAAAGGAATCAGTAAACCCCAGAAAAACCAAGCTTTAGAATCCCATTTAAACATATACAACAGAAATAAATCTCTAACAACATAATTCAGTTACAAAAAATGAAACAATTGGCATATTCATTATTGTGACTTTTCTCTGAGCTATTTTTGCTGAGTCACGCAATTTAAAGAAACCTAACGCTAAGACATACCTGACCAAAATGCACTGTGATTGGTCTTCTGTCTTCTCTTAATTTAGGGTCCTTCTTTTCAACCAAGGGAGAAGGCGCCGTCCTTGGTAGAGATTCCTCCGGTGCCGCAGAACACCCGTTCTCAGCAATGTCCTGTATGGTAGGAACAGGTGAATAGCATGGCCAGGAACGTTCTTGATTAAGGGTAAGGGGCACAAAGGAGACACTAGAGGATAATGCTGACTAATCATTTTGATGTTAGGAGAAAAAAAATAAAGCACAGAAAAGAAAACATCATTAGAATAAAACATTTCGTTGCACTTTGTCAATCAGAGCTTGGACACAACCAGTCTCTCCTCCTAATACCAATGTTGCATGCAAACAGACATGTTCAATAAAATGTCTGACTTAAACGTGCAAAAGCTAGGAAATACATAGGGAGAAAAAAAACCTAGCTCAAAATTTCTATTCTAGGAACGAATTCAACAGAAACCTAGGAATGGGCATATTCTGCTTTTTGCAAACCTAAAAGAAAACAGTAATTCTATTTACATACTTCACAGAATTATCTGTAGCAGAACAATTACTTGTGGAAGCAGCAAGGAGAGTTGAAACTCGCAGCTTAGTTAGCTTTGCATTTTATCTTTGAGTCTATGTATACTGAATATGCCTTCAGGAGATTGTCTAAAACAAACTGCTGCCTAGCAGGATGCTTTTTTGTTTTGCTTTGCTTTTGCTTTTGACATTAGTCCTCACCTTCAGAAGTAAAGTGACCCATCAACCTAGGTTAGAAGACCTGGCAAGTGTATGTATGGTATATGTAGCATAGGTTTTGAAAAAGACAAAGGCATGCGGACATAAGGAATCAGACAAGGAGACAAGAGTTTGAAAGTCAGTTGAGAAATAGTCTGTAACGCAGTGGGCCCCAAACCTTACATCTCTTTGCAACAATGTCAAGGAAATAACGCTTGGTAAATATAGAGAGAAACCTGCACACACTGTAGCTCTGCAAGACTGACCCGAGGTTGGCTGCTGCCACAGGCATGGCTTTGATTCACTGACCTTTGACATGCCCCCTCGAGCTTCCGTCTTGCTACGGTACAATAATGAGACATGTAAGCTGATGGCCAATTAGAAATGGTTCTTTTGGACACAGACTGACCTAATGTGTTTAGGTCAAATGAAACAAAAAGCTGGACGGACTTTCTAAGGGGCTTTGTCTGCTCCACAGAGAAGCTGAGAGACCTTTTTAGATCCAGCTGGTAGAGCAGTGGGTCACCAATATGGGCACGAGGATCGCGGGGAAATTAGCAACTTGTTAAGGTCAAACTAGAGAGAAAAACTTTTTCCTCCCCCCGCCCTCCAGCTGCACAATGCTACCTGCTCTTTAAAAAAATTCAACAAAGTACACTGAATTAGTAACAAAGAGCCTCAAAACAACTCGATGACAAGAAATGTAAGCTTCTGTCAAACTCAAGCTTCAGCTCCAAAACAGCAACCAGCTACCAAGGGATCTGGTCGGTTTTGGAATCACACAACATCTGGCAGCAACCTATACTGTTCTGAAATGTAACAACATTAAATGCAAACTTCATTTACCTATTCCTATACAAGTATAGCCATACTAAATGGGCCCCAAGCTTCAGGCCTGGTAGGTATATGCCATAGAGGTGCCCGGCACATCCGAAGCCCCCTGACTGCCAGCACTTCAGAGCTTTCAGAGTTCCACCTGGAGCTGTGGCTCCAGCCGAGGCAACAGACAGCTGGGAACCAACGGAAAGCAAAGCATCTTCCCACCCAGGCAAGATTTCCAGGAAAATGTAAAACGGACGCAAAAGTTTGGACATCAGGGGAATGGGAAGAGATAAAAGATGCAGACAGATCAAGCCAAACCCCCTAAGATGTATAACGATCGCTGCAAATCCTTGCAGCTTTTATTGTTATAGATCTGCTGTACTTCTCTGATGATATAATTGCATACAAAAGATAACATGTTCCTAAAGCATATTTCCACTTTGTTTGGTGCACAGACTTCCAGAGAAACTGCAGCAGATTTCAGTCAAATAATTCTTTTTTAAATTTACTTAATAAAATATGAGAATTATATTATTTGATACCTCTCTATTTTTTCAAAATCCCCAAAAGGCAGATAAATCAACAACACAGCTTCAGTCATCAAAGCAAAATTTGCTTCACAAAAGGTTGACTTCTACCTTCAATGAAACCACATTTGAGCTAAATAAACAGAGAAACCTGATTTTAAACACCCCAAATAGCTTTAAAATTATTGAATGTCAAAGTGTTTGGCAATTCTATAATTGGAAAGTAGAAAAGCAGTCTGTGACAAACCTTCAGTCCAGTAACCGACTTGGAATACCGTCACTCCAAAGTCAACGGGGAGTACAAGACAGAGAAAACCACAAACAGGAAAACAGGACTCTGATTCTGAACTCCAGCTTCAGAAAGGTATCAGGGCTCACAACATGTCTGCTGATAAAAGCAGTTCTTCAGCCTGAGAACTAGAAATGACCAAAGAACTGCAGTGGATCACAGTGTAGGCAGGCCTTAAAAAAGCAGTGCCCGTTCCTGGGACTAGAAGGAAAGCCAGGCAGACCTGCGCATCCCAACCGAGGGAGAGGATTTACCAGCGGGAATGCTGTCTCCTGTCTCCACGCTGCTTCTGAGAGCAGTGCTAGCACGTCCACCTGAAGCCGTGCCGTGTAAGTGTACCAGCTTGGCCGGTGCTCTCGTACCGCGGTGCACCAGACCATGCAGGTATGTCCTAAGTCCGACTTTTCAGTTCCGACATGTCCCCAAAACAAGGATTTGGTATAAGCCAGCAAGACATTCCTGAAGTAGCTTAAGTCATATATGTAATTCAGGATAACAACAAAAAACATGAGACCTATCCCTCCCAAAAAATGGGAAAAAATGGAAGGTGATACGTTACTCATTACTGGAATAAATTCTCCAGAAATGCAAAACCCTAGCAATGTTTCAGTGACTTTGTAAGGAAAAGAAAGTGTAATTTAAGGATATTATTAAAAACAAAAACACCTTTTGCCTGAGGAAAAAAGATACTTTATAGATTACTGGAAAAAGAGAATGACAATGATCTATCACACTCCATAATTATCTTCATATATAAACAGCGCTTCCGCTAACAACTGTCTGTTCAGGTGAAATCTTTACTACCTATTTATTTTAACTTCAGAGAATGAGTAAGATATATATTTACAGATATGTAAATTTACCCTGTAAACTGAATAAGGTTTTCTTCTGTTTAAATATGCATTAGTAATTTTTCGAAGGACCTTTTGTAATGGACTACAAATACTGTCTAAGAGCAAAAAACACATTCCAGAATGTCTAGAAGGACTCTTCAGGTTATTTTATAAACCTTTAAATGAGTTGTTTCTAGCTGTACTGATAATAAAGCACTGACAACAGCCCATTGATAACAGACATTAACTAGAGCCACACAGGGCTCTAGTAAGTAAAATAATGTTGAATACATTAATGCCAAGTGCCCAACCATTTATATAAATTGTCTTATCCAGAAGCTTTCAGTAAGTTACATTCTCCTTACTGAAAGTTGAGGATGGTACCATTCATATTCCTCATTCTTCCTAATTCTATGTAGTTAAGCTTCAAACGGGCCAATAACGGAGTGACTTGACCACCATGGTCCATTTGTGAAATGGGAAAAGCAGCCTTTACAAAAAAAAAAAAAGAAATAAAAAGAAAAGAAAGAAAAAAAGAAAAAAGTACTGTATCAGATATAAAATAAAGCTACCATGCTGTATCTATTAACAATTATTTGCTATCACTCCTAAGAATCCTCTGAAAACTATTTCTGTTGCTTTGAAATACTGTACCACAAATGAACAAGGGATGGAAATAGAGCCCCATTCAATCTCTACTATCATATTAAAGAAGGACCTTACACACACCACAGTGACCTCTCAACAGGTCAATCCTGCATTTCCCATTTGCAATTCAAACCCAAGACTGGAGCAGACCAAGGGCAAAATGGGCTCTTGATTATATTTAAGAGGTCACCATTGCTATGCAGAGTTGTAGGAAGCAGACCTCTAGCTTTATTGCATTTTTAAATTCTACCTTGTACAGAAGCTGCTCATATTTGGCAGTGAAAACTGGAAAAGGATGTTTATATTTGACTTTTCCTTACCAGTGGCCTGCATACTTTTTGTATTAATAATGGAAAATAATACGTTAAAATGCAGTGGATAGTAAGTTCAGTTTAAAAATAACCTTAGGTTATCCTTAGAAGATGAAAGACTAGCATCCCAAATTTGGCAAAAATTAAGTATTTAATGATGCCAGAATTTCAAACAGTTAACACTTGCACATACTAGTAAATAAATAAATGAAAAATACAATGTTCTCACATGAATATTGTCGAGGGTGCACTAATAGGCTTGTCAACAAAGTAGCACAGGCATTTAGATTAAAAATAATATGAGGGTGGCCAAAACAATTTTTGCTATTTTTCTCACTTTAAACAGAGCAATACCTCTTTTTAGAGTTCTCTTTCTGTCTTGCATTCAAAATGGAGAAGAGGATGGGACAGAAAAGAACAGACAATGAAAGGAGAGGTAGAGCAGTAAGTGTCAACTACTCACAGAAATCTTTCAAGCTCTTGTGGAAGCGTGTGTTGAACAACCGTGTTTAACCATCTTACTTAGGGAAACGCCACATAATAGGGAAGGTGAAACAAAATTGGGCCCTTGTGTTTGTAAATGTTATGTGTGTTTTTTAAAAAGAGTGCATGCTGCTTGAAGGACTAGGAACACAACACCAATAATAAAACAAAGCAATGAATGAATGAGACGTTTCTCAGCCTTTTATACAAATGTCACAGCATAGCATACAATTATATTAGCATTTAAAATACAGGAAAACAATCTGGTCATTTTACACAGCTCCAACTGCTTTAGAAATGCACATGAGAAGGCCAAACATTTTATTATTCATGGAGGTTATGACCAGAAGTGAAATGCATGGAATTACATAAAAAATTCCATGTACAAGAAAACTGCTTCATGTTTCTAAAATTTTCATACTGTACCTGAAGTGGTCACATACAGAGTAGTAGGTGTAATAAAATAAAACATCATTAAAAGCATCTGAAGCGACTTTATGTTCCTCAAAAATCTCTAGCAATCTGCTAGAGTATTTAGAGAACGAACAGCATTGGGATTGTACACACAGTTAATGTCATCAGTTCATAACTTAGCTGCAGAATAATCCCTTTGTATTAACATTTTGTTGACTTGTTCAGGTAGATTTCTGTTTGTGCCACAGGAACACATTTGCAGCGCTATCTTAAGATGATGGCTTAGAAATTTAGAGAAGGAATTTGCTGAGATAGCACAGATTAAAAAAAAACCAAGCTATTATGCAACAAATTGAACAAAAATTTCTGAGAAGAACTTCAGTTCTATTGGCAAGTTAGCTATCTTGTTTTCCCAAAAGACTCTAATAGCTGTGCTTCACCGAATAAATAGAGTATCTGAAATAAGCCTAAGGCAGAGTTAACCATTCATTCATAAGGAATGTATCAATAAGACCATGCTTCTGGCTTAAAAGGAGCAATTAGTATTGGATAACACATTCTTCAAACACAATTCGGCATTCTTGGAATTGTACTGTTTACAAACAAAGACAGATTTGGAAAACAACAAATAGTTTGAGTAATTTTTGCTGCAATAATTCAAATTTGAAATGAACACCAACTCTAATTTAATTCCTTTATGCCTAAACTTTGCAGTAGACACGCATGAAACACAGAAGTCCTTTTCCCATTGACCAACACTATGCTATTTTCCCTGGGAGATTACTGTAGAAATAACAACAATTTGCCATTTGCAAAAAGTTCACTGCCCTTACTGCAAGAAAGATCTCCCAGTTCACATAAAGTCCCCTTCCACAATGCCCCAGCACAAAGGACTGGAGAGGGACCACTCCAGATAGAACACTAAATTTTCTGGCTTTTGTGGGTTTAAGTCAGAGCCTTAATGTATTTGAAGACTTTTTTTTTTTGTCTGTGAATATTTATAACAGTGTGAAAAATCCAGGACAGCTGGTAATGCATTTTGAAGTGTGCTAACAACACTGTATCAAACAGCTTCCTATTGATCACATAATGCTTTTTGTGGCTAAGTATTTCATACGTGGTGCTTATACATTTTGAATAAGAACTTCAAGTACCTTTTGCTTCAAGCGGTTTTTCACTTCTTTTATTCCCATTTTTGCATGATCTTTTGCCTGCATGAAAAATTAATTTAAGTTAAAATCCCCTTCTATTTCCAGCAGTGACTATGCTTGATTTCAGTGCATCAAGATTCACCTTCTCTAGTTACTAAAAATGGCAAGGAAAAAATTGTAACATTAGAACAAATAGAAAGCTAATAAACCCCCAAGCAAACAAAAACCACCACTCCCCCCCCCTCGTTGCAATAATTTTGTTTTCTCAGTTTTGATGCCATAGACATCTTTCATCTTTTTGCATTCCACACCCTTGATCTCAACAGAAATAGCAAGCCTGCAAACTTTCTCCTTGCAGTACGCTGGGTGCCTGTTCCATTTAGCAGAGCTAATCTCATCCTACTTGTCGCTCTCAGGCTGGAGAAAGGGAGGAGAAGATAAAAGTTTGAATAGTTATCCCAATGCTTTTCGGAGCATTATTTCCTAAAATTGAGCTTATAAGAAATCCTTGCTTGCCTCTGTGTTGTTTTATCTTGCACAGTGAAACTGGCAGCCACACATGATAACACAGTACATACTAGCTGTTTGTTAACAGATCTGAAAACATTTTCATTTAAAGAATAACTCAGTAAGTTGGGCTCTAAATAAGCAGGTATAAGAAATCTCTAGGGAAAATTAATTGACATTTAGAAAAGATGGAAACAATTTGGAAAATGAGAGGATTCCCTTATTTCGATAAAGCTGCAAGCAAAGAAACCTGAGGTAACAATGATTTCCAACAGAGTAATGATGAGATGGTAGAGCTGCTTAGTAGAGCACATAGGCACTATTTCCCAGAAATAGTTCTATGTAATAAACAGAATTTATCATCTATACTTTCAAAAGAAATCACAAGTTCTCCTTCTCCTTTGCATTTCAATTATGTTTAAATTTCAAAATGACTTTTCCATTTAAATTTGGAATTTAGATGAATGCGTATTTTAAGTAATTTTGTAAGCCCAATAAAAATGAATTTAAGTATTGAGTTTCATTTGAAAGGTTAAAACAGAATCGTAATTAGACTCTTATCTCAGTAGTAAGCCAGTACTTGATACTTACAAACTTATAGACAGTCTTCATGGCGGGGTTAGCCTTGGTCTTTACTGTATTTAAAATGGCTCCACTTCCTTTCTATAATTACAGTAACAATGGAATAAATTTTATCAAAGCTCTTTAAAGCAAACAGCAATCTAAAATCCACATTCTTAACTTAAAATAACAAAGCATTAGCTATGCTTATTAGCAGAGCTGAGTATTAAAATGGTAAATTTAAAGAAAAAGAACACAAGTGAAAACATAGTAAATGTTTCTCTCTGGTTTGCCAGAGGAATCCCAATTCTGTTTAATCCAGCAGTTTTCAAATGAAAAATGTCCGTGTCTCCTACTGCCGAGAGCCCTTGCCTTACAGGCCGTCTCACAAAGCAGTGTTCTGTGGCTGTTCCACTCGCCCTCAAGGCTGTCCTGTACGTCGCATTAAAATCCTAAACAAGTCTAAGACAAAAGTATCCTACCAAATACTCAATGTCTGGGGCAGAACATTCAGTTTCAGGAAAGCCTGTACATTCAGTCTGAAGATGATGGTTTTTTATTTTCCTTTTCATGATCCCACAGTATTATTTATCAAAAGCATGCTGCCTTTTTAAGATCTAAGTAGTCGATAAAGGGACAAATTGAGGGAAAACGAAATCTACAGTTGTAAACATTAACTCTGGAAAAGCTGAATTGCATGTCATGAACATAATAAAAGTCGTACGACAGTAGTATGTCAGGCAGAATAATCTGTTCGTCTGGTCGGTGTTTTATACATCTTCCACACACCATTGACCATTGCTGTACAGTACCTTACTTGATAAATACAGGAGACAGGTAAAATCCAAGGAATAAAATCTTAGATAATTTTATATTTTCTTATTTCAGTGCAAAATTATACTTCCAGAGATCAGATGCAATCACATGCAAACCGTTTTAAGATTTACTACTTCTGTTACTACATGACAATTAATGTTCAACAAAAATGATAAACTGTTGAATTTAATTACATGTATTCTTACACTCACTGTCAGCCTTTCCCCTTTCTTGTAATTTTAAAATTACTTGTCATCCTATGTATTTATATATATATATTTACCTGCCTAACTATATGATGGGATTTTTTGCATTACTGTTATAAAATACGTTTCATTCAAAATTATCACGATACTATCGAGCCCAGCGTTTTGTGTAAGGAACATAATTCCATTCTTCAGCAAAGGCAACCGGAATGCTGCCAAACTCAATTCTGTCAGAAAACAATTCAGGCTTTCCTACCAACTCATACCCATAAATCAGAAATATTTTACTTTTCAATACATCACATTTTATGCATCAAAAGAGACTTTTAAAATCAGCTGTAATAATATATTATTCTCTAAAAGTATTTAAATTTTTAATTTATACAACTAGAGCAGTAACAAGAGAGATCCAAACCCATCCCAAACAGAGCTGTCCCCATTCAGCACTTCACACCATTTAGCTTTATAAAGAGCTTTTTGGTGTGGCAATGTTCTCTTTTGTTTCCTTTTCTATTAAAAGGAAAGAAAAGCCACATTATTTTCGAAAATGACAATAACTTGTTTCCAGCTGTCTCCTAGACATTAAAAGTGGGACTCAAAAACTTGAGAATTCCACTTTTTTTTTTTAGTGTATTTTTTCTTCTGTTCTTTACTTCATCTGAAGAGCACATTAGTTTCTCACAACTCAACTCAAGCTGGTCACGGCTAAACGCCGCAGGAAACAGGTCAGTCATGTTCATGAGGACAGAGGTTAACAGCCATGCAGAACCGTACAACGGCCCAGTAAGAATTCCAATGTCTGGTGGAAGAATAGTGTGTTCTTACCCTTACTGTAGAGAGCCACTGGTGGTACAATTTGTCGCTACCTGGAGGGAATCACAAAAACAAAGAAACAAACAAACCGTAACTCTCTGCCAAATAGAAAACAAGCTAGAAATGTGACGTGTTAGCACGTAGTGGTCCTAGGAGCATGAACAGTACAGAAACAGAACAGGACAACCACCCTTTTCTTTTAATGGAAACACAGCAACAAAAAAATTAATGAGTTATCTACAATTTTACTTGCTAAGAGGCATTTCTATTTCATCTGGGTTGTCTTTCAGACACTTGAGAACACTGAGGATTTTTTTTAAGATCACTAAAAGAAATTTGAGGTGGTTCTGGGTAAAGCCAAGGTTTTTCAGTATCCTCCCTTGCAAGAACTCTTTTAGTTGTACTTGAGCCACGTGGTAAAGCTGAGGTTTTGTAAGACTGAACAGACTTTATTCAGACTACAATACATTACTCCAAGTTCTCGACAGAAGAAAGAACAAAAATTTAAAACACTTCAACCTACAGGGATTGTTGCAGCCTCAGTTATTTAAGTGCGTAATCACAATGACCCATTACACCATGATGGCCCACAAACAGTAAGTCAAGAACAGTGTCTGAAATGACTTTAAAACACTGTATTTCTTACCTGCATATTCTCCCATATTTATCTCTTCTTCAAAAATATCACTGAAGCCCTCTCCAGAGTTAAGAAGATCCAGGCGGCCATCAATGAACTACATCAACGTTAAAAGAGAGTGTAAATAAATCAACCATCCCATCCTTTATCTTTTCAGAAAGACTTTATTCTGCATTTGCTAGAATAACCCCAACGTTCTTATCGGGAAGGGACTCTAAATAGAATGAAAATACAACCAAAACTGACAAAATGCTTACCAATGCAAAAAGGTATGCTGCTTCACTGAAAAAACAGCATTCACGTGTTTGTCTGTGCATATATGTTTTCAGCTTCCCTGAAGCAGTAATATCATGTTTAACAGTAATATGCTTGCTGTACAAAGTTTACAGCAGATATATTGGGTCCAGGCATGCTCAGATCAAAACTGAGCACAGAGACCTTTAGGGGGAAAAAAACCATACACCTCTTAAAATATAGAAAGCCTTATCACCCAAATCTGAGAAAAGCCAGCCAGCAGGCATTAAGGTGCTGAGCTGCCAACTACATGAATTTTCCTCATTATGTGGCTGACAGATCAAGGAACATAGGAACAGCCCTTGAAAAAAAGAGCGGTATTGTTAAAGAATCTGCTTCTACATTACAGCAATTAAGCCAGTACCTGCTTAAAGAGCTGGAGCTGAATGGCATTCTGAAGAAACTGCCTCATGACAGCAGAACGATGGGACACAAACGTTTCTTCACAAAAAGTGATGGGTTCACCCTGTAGAGTTCAGAGCATTAAACACTGAAAAAGCTTTGCCTGAATCCATTTGAATCCACTAACTCCATTTTATCTACTTCCCTTCCAAAATAAATAGATGAAGTAGGTAGGCCTTCCACAACGTTGAGTAAACTGCAGTTTATTTCCAGGTTTCAATCACGTGACTCAGAAATGGGTTGGAAAGTGGCAAATTGCGTATCATCAAAACAAAACGCATTTGCTTTATGCACATTTTGCGAATGCTGCTGAAGGAGCTTTCATCATCCAAAAAGGTAATTTTACTTAATGTCCCCAAAATATGACACACAGTCACCTGAATTTTGTATATTCTGCTTATCGGCCTCAGCAGAGCCAGCCAGTTAACCTGCACAAACACGTCAGGGATGTCTACGCTGTTCTCTCCAGTTCAGAAAGGTTAGACTTTCATATACTGAATGAGTGAAATTTCCCTTTTTCACAACCTTGTTGGCAAAAGACAGAAATTGTTTTGCAGCTCTACTTTTATCTTATTTTAATGAGTTATGTTAATGCTGAAGTCTGCTGTGCATCTGCCATAAGGGCACAAATTTCCCCCACACTTAAATCTACAATTACTCAATGTAACAAGCAAATATATTTATTGAATTAAAAACACAAAAGTAAAAAAGAATGATAAAATGATACTAATGTATAATTAATATGGAGACTTCTTCGTACTGATATTAAAATATATTTGGACTCTTCAGCTGCTGACTGTTTAAAATCAACATTAGATAGCAGAAAACCTTAAAGCACTCCCTTTAAAAGGGTGGTATCATTCCATTTCTGCGAGCTTTTTATATTAGCAATCTCGTTTACCATTGGCAGTGTAAAGTCAGGATAGCAGGGCCACTAAAATGATGGTGCTCAAAAAAACCCCGTGCCACAGCGCTGCTTTGAGCATATTGGTTTTTCCCCACCAATTTATACTGGAAGCCACTGTGTGGCCCCAGGACTTCTAACACCTGATCCACACTGAATGTACACCAGATCCTCAAAACTATCTTGGCAAACTGTAATGACACTCTCATTTCTTAAAGTCCATAGGTATTCACCTTTTTCCCCTGAGTTCACAATCGATCAAACTTACTCGCTGATACCTTTCCTACCGAGGTCTGGCACTACCCCAGAGCTTATCACCCTGACGGCTGATGCTCACTGCCCATCGCCTGGCCTTTGATAGAACTGACCTCACCACTGTAACCAAATGGTGCAAAGAGTTATATCAGTTTTTAACACAATTTATGCGGAAAGTCAAGGAACTATTTGGTTTCAAATAATCAGACCACAGTAATAAAATTCTTCCTGGCCCCCCCTGAATTGGACAACCAGAATCACCACGATGATGCACCATGTACCTCGCCTCCAACCCAGCAGGCGGCAGATGCCAGAGGTCACAGACCGTTCCTAGCAGGAGGAAAAGGGTCAGTCACCAGTGACTGCCTGAGCACAGGACGGGTCTCTTCCAAACAGCGAGAAAGTCACTCTTTTAGGACAGTTTCTTTCACCTTTTCCTTAGACCAATGAATTTCCATGGTTTTGGAGAAGAAAGCAGGTTTCTTCTGTGACAACTATCGTTTCAGGATAATTAATTTTAAAAATAATAAACTGTCTTTGATTTACTCTAGCAGATATTTACAGGGAAAAACAAAATCACTGCAATCTTTCTGGGCAAGAAGCATGAGTGTCAAAAACGCTTTTTTTTTTCTCCTGTGGCTTTGATCTCATCAGGAAAAAGAATCATAAGACACTTCGTTTCAAAGTAAACAAAGGAAAAATGTTTGGAAAAAGAGGTCTGGCTGGTATGTGCCTGGTATGCAAGACACTGGTGATAGTCTCCATGACACACTGACTACTGCCACGATAAAGGCTGTGTCTCCAAAATCAAGGTATCTACTGTCTGAAAGGTAATGCATTTAAACGATTAACAGCAGATCACGCACTCATGTTAGCGCACAGCAGAGAGGGACAGAACTGCTGCATGACATGGAAGTGTCAAAACAAGACTTTGAGCAAGAGGTAACTTGGCAAATGGAAAAGGCCATTAGTTGATTTTGGGATGGGACTGACAATTTGGACCAATATAAACTCCCCATGCAAGAACTTAATATATTATATTCAGCTATTGCCATCCCTCTTGAGATTTGTTTATACTCTCTCAGGTACCAGGAAGTAAAAATCAGGCTACTACAGAGCACTACAGTTCGTAAGAGAAAATCTTAGGAGATTGCAAATGCATCTGCTACTACAGAAACTACAGCGACAGACACTTTCCCAGCAGGGCCTAGGAAGCAGTACAACAAACAACAGGACGTAACGTCTTTTTGACCGGTACGAAAAAGGCTTCCCCACCAAATTCAGCTACCAGAACATAATAAAGGATGCCTGAAAAATATTGTGTCTGGCATAGATACAATCTGGAGTGTGAAAAGAGCTAGGAGCAATACATGAAGAAAAGTGTAGACTAGTCCATGATCAGAGAAGTTGTTCATCAGAGTAAGGTTTAGCTTTCATTTACACCTCACTTACAAAACACTTTGAAGGAAACAAGCAACCCTTCGTACACTCTACGAGAACCCAAAATTTCTCCCATGGCCAGAGAAGAGTATGAACATTGTGGACAGAGCTATGCCCTGCCAACAGAAGCTTCCTCTACTCCACTGTACATCCAGCACAACGCCACCAGCTTCTCCTCTTACCATCGAGCTGCGTACCACTCCTATAAACACACAGTGCAGCTGGGGGAGCCCAGTATTATTATCGTGTTAACACACTTCCTTCCCCAAAGTACTAATGATTGAGTTTGTTCATTAGGTTGATTAGACCTTTTGACTTCTTAAGAGCCAATTCAGGCTCAACTGCTGCTAGATGATAGGAAAAACTTTAATCATCAAGGTCAAGCGTGAGCTTTTCAGCTTAGAATGCATTAGTACCTTCCATCCTCCATGACCTCCAGAAGGGTGAACACACTGTTGCTAACCCCCATCCACAGCTTCATTACAAAAAGACAAGCTGGACAATAAGACCATTTTCTTGACAGATTTAGTTAACTGTAAGTTATAAAGCTAATCAGCTCTGCTTTTACTGACAGATGACATTATACATGAGGGGACATGCTAAGAACTGCAGATGTTTTGTGAAATGAATGGTCTTGCTCACATGTAAAACAATTATAACAACTTGCCCTGATAAACCCATCAACTCCTAAACTTGCTGTTTCCAATAATTAAAATTTAGGCCTTGATTCGTCAACACCTTAAATATCAATTATTCCCCTCTCCAACTATCAATGCATAACAGAGGCTAAGATACGGCATTGCAAACGCTCTAAATGTGTGCACAACACGACTCTATGAGGAATCTGATTTGATTTGTAATATTAGAAAACTCACACATATTTCAAGATTGGATCACAAAATTATTTTTAATACAAAAATGTACACGTTTCAAAGACATTTAATCTGCAATCTTAACACAAGAGAAGTAACTTTAAAATATAAGACTAAGATTTAAGACTCTCAGATGCATTGAGAAAATAGGTGTCTTTTCTTTATGCCTTTTCAAATCTCCCTTTATATGAATATTTTATATTCATATGGCATAATGAAGTTCATCAGGGCAGTGCTGCTATCTCATGACCCCTTAAAAAGCTGAAAAGTTTCAGCCCACATCTGATCTGTTGCCAGCCCTATTTTTAAATCGGAATTCTGCTACATTCTAAAATAATGTTTAAAACTACTTAAGGCAGCAAGTGAAAAACGAAAGGAGTCTAGGACTTATTTCAGACTGTTCTAGAGTTTCATGAAACCTGCTGTTATATTTTAAGACGCCATAATGCAAATTGAAAGATAGAGCCCAATTTTGACTAGCTATACTGTAAAAAATTTCACCATGATTCCCCATCTTTCAAGGAAATCACTTTTCCTCAGAAAGATAAACTTTCTTTCAGGAGGGGGTACAGGACCTCGTGCAGACAGTTATTGTCAGCGAGAGAAGTATCCTATCTGAATTGTCCGGCTTACCGTACTTGCAGACAGGCCAGCTAACTGGTTATGGCAGTAACTTTCACAGTGAATATAAAGGACTAAAAATATGTGGGACAGAAGACAGCACAGATTAGAGAAAGGGACAGAGGCGAACACAAGTGATACTTCTGGAAAGACACACAGGTGCTAAGATAACTCATGGAAGTCTAACTATTCCCACTCCTGCAAGATATGAGACACCAAAGCGTGCGTCTGAATAATGGGGCTTTAAAGCCAGCATGTGACTGCTGGGTAAAACATTAAGATAATAAAGGCAGGGTTCAAATTAGGTCAACAGTGAGAATCTCTTGCACAAGCAAAGATTTCACAAAACTTGATTCTAAGGGTAAAAAAAAAAATAAAAAATCTGACGACCCAAACCTGCAGACTTTGTTTAGATAACCCTAAAAGTTATGCCATGGAAGATAAATGTAATCTCTTCCGCATTATCATGGTCAGCATGTGGTGCAGGGTAATGAATTTTGTGCTGCTGTATGCATGCCTTGAAACCATGTAGGTGCTCTTTCAAAGCCTCTCTAATAAATACATAAGCCATTAGAGCTGCTCTGTAAACCAGCCACGAAATGAAAAAATGTGGGTGGAATTTAAAGGTGCAGAACAAGATGACAATCCGAGAGTCTACAAGCTGAAGTCTAGTGTCAGGATACTATGCAGCAAAACCCCAAATATACAGCAAGAACAATGACATGCAAGAGATTCATATATCACTGTTTTATTACTACCTAGATGTTGCAAATAACCACATCTTTTACTAAAATTGGTTACGTTGCAAATGACAAAGTAAAGCCCGTAGGGATATTCCAGAAGTCATCATCCTTAATTCCATCCAGAATTATAATGAAGCTAAGATAGGAGAATGATCTTACTGATCTAGATACATATGTCAGTGTCAGATACAACAGCAACCAAAGGCAAGCAACTGCTCTGCAGACCTTT